TTCAGGTAATGTCGAATGGCAAACACATCAGATAGTTGTGTAACAGCCAGCTTATGTTGCTCAAAAAATTATATAAGTGCCAGCAAGTTAATTTATGAAGCTTACTGGACTTATCTGCTGGCACAGAGCTTGCTAACTTCATTCCAACTTCAGTTCTTTGAAATGAGTTTATCTCATTTCCAATGCCAAAATGGGCTTTAACTTTAAACAAAAAAGGCATCAGCTTGCCAAATTTGGACATGACGTTTGACTGCAGCTATTAAAGGGAGCAGAACCACTGGTGAGTGAATGAGCTGAAAAGAAAAACAACTCCTTCCTCAGTCAGCTTTAAGATTCTCTATCAGAACTTCCATAGGCTGTCAGAACTGAAGGGTAAGCCCTTTTCTATACACAACTGAAAAACACAGCCTCTCAGAAAACATTCATAAAATTAATTGTGAAATTTGAGAAATGCTGCAATTAAGCACAATATTTGAGAAATACTTTGCAGCTTTTTTGCCAGGAGCCATTATTATAATATGATCTGACATTACATCAGGCTCACAACAAAACCAATAAAGGACAACAAATTCCTTTCTTAGTCATAACCATATCTAACCCCCTGCAAAACAGTCAAAATGGAAATAATATGACAGAAGTAACACTTCAGAAAACCAGTGCAGTAATCAGAATCTTAGCAAACACAGATAGAAAGTCAATACATGCATATATTGTAAACACAGAGCTGCAAACATAGGGTATAGACATGAGTTTTCAAAATTAAGGTAAGTGGTACTTCAATACCTTAATGTGACATCAGCATCTCATTCCATTCAATATTCTCTTTAGAATTTTTTAAAAGACTTGTCATTATTTAATAAATGTTCCCAACTCCTCCTTTACATTTTTAAAAGTTAAAAAGAAAACAAGGGGGAAAAATCCATGCACAAATATCAGTTAAGATGAAAAGCAAACACATCTGTAATTAAACAAAATTTAAAATAAAATGTTTCCATTTCTATTTTCAATTTCCTTGAAACATACCATTTCACTGAAAAAAAAAATTGCTTTCCACTTTTTGGCTAGTTAATTTAGAACAGACCCTTAATGTAGGCTCTAAAAGTCTCTAAGATACCTACTACTCACTTGGTAAGTAGGAAGCTTCTTGAAAAAAAAATGAGATTTAAGTCTTCGATTTCTGCAGTATTCATGGAACATATCTACCACCTTTGAAAGTTAAATAATGTGGGGNAAAAAAAAAAAAAAAAAAAAAGGACATTCCTGGCTTCCCAAATCTGCATACAAATATTTAAGAAAATGCTTATCAGTTTCAGTTTGCTACTCAGAATCTAAACAGCAGAGAAAAGTACTAGAATTATGTAAAAATGATAACCAAAAGTTTAAAATGAGAGGTCATAACTGCTTCAAGTATCTACAAAGCTGGGGCAGGTAGGGAGGAGTTGTAGTAATGTCCTTCTCCACCTCACTTGTATTTCCATTCTAGGGATTTCTAATGCCTGGGAAAGGGGTAAAGTACAAGACCTCCACTCCTCCCTTCCTTGCCAGATGAATGAGAGGAATAACAGAGGTGCTTGTCATACCACCTAGGAAAAGGAGAGAGGATTTCTCCCTTGCCAGGAAAAACTAAGGGTACTGCTAATTTGTCAGACATCCACTAACCAAAAGCTGATAAGAAAAATTCACCAGGATCCAAATTATTAATCATTCCCTAATAATGGAATTAGGAAAAACTACAATCTGTATATAATCAGTCTTCTTGCTTTGGGAACTCTTTTAAAATAAGTTGTATTTATTATAAAAAGATTTCTCATATACCCATGAGTTTTGAAATAGAAAACAGGCTGTACAGTTTGGAACACTCTGACCTTTCACCTCTGGGCAGCCAGTTTCAGTACATGCTGTTCCACATGTGCAAGTGATTTTCAGGCTCCATTTAGCATCCTAGACTGTTACTGTCTAAACTTCACAAACAGTGAAGTCCAATATTGTTATTTGCGATGTAGACTAAGCTCTGAAGACAGGAGGTGTATGACTTAAAATGCAGACTCTGAAGTGTTTGGAGGTTTTTTGTTTGTGTCTGTCTGCAGCCTGAAACAGAGTACTCCATGAGTTTACAGAAGGATGAATTGGTTTTAAACATTTGCTCCTTAAAACTTTTTTCTTCAACTCTCAGTCTGCCAAGTGTCAAGAAAGCAACATTTTCTTCCATCAAGGCAGGGACATACTGGGAGAAGAAACAAGAAAATGACATCCAAAACCATTCTGATGTGAGGTAAGAAACTTGCCTTTTGCTAGCAACATGGAAAACAATGCCATGCCATGGGCACAGGAGTTTGACTGATAGAGTTCGAAAGCTAGAGAGGTGTCACAGTGTGCAATGACAGATTTGTGCACCATGCTACCATTCTAGTACCCATTTTGAGACCCCAGCTCCCAAATCTCAAAATGTTGAGTGACATGAAGGAATTTGACAGAGCTTCAATTTTTGCGGAAGGAGATGGGTGGAAAATGGTGGTTATACTTTTTCAGGTTGCATTGAATAGAAAAATAACATTTGGAACAAAAATCAAATGAAATATCAACCTGGAAAGCAAAAGTCTGCTTCAAACATTTGGGTAGTCACACTATAAGCCAAAAGACTGCATTATTATTCTGAGGAGGCTAGTTTATACATAAATTCATAGTACAGCCATTAAATTCAAAGGATGTATATTTGCAGGTAAGAAAAGTTGCAACACCAATGATCCTATAGTACAAAACTAGAAAATCTGTTTAAAATATTTGTTTTTTTAATGGAAGCTTCAATGGCACAAGGAAAAAAAAGAAGACATGGCACATTGTTTCATATGTACAAAAATCTATTTTCATATTTACAACTATTATGACAGAAAATATGATGCCCTAGACCTCCCCCCCCCCAACCAAAAAAAAAAAAAAAAAAAAGTTCTTTACTTTACTGAAGGGAATATACCTTTGTCCAGTGGGTAAAATTCTCTGGCTTCAGTCCAGCTCAGCTGGTCATTTTGGTCTAGTATGTAAAAACAGAAGTGGTCTAGATAGATGAGCCAAAAAAAAATGTACATATATTATGTAAATGGATGAAGGACTTTCTTAAAAGCTGTCACTGAAAAGGAGCTATGAAACAGCCTTATGTGTTAAGCATCAGTTCAGTATTGCCTCTCAAATCTTTTGTTTTTCTTTTCCCTCTCTAATTACAGAGAGGGAAAAAAAAAAAAAAAAAAAAAAAAAGCTGAATCTGAGAAACATCAATAAAACCAGATCCAGCCATTGCTATCCAGAGCAACAGCACCTTGGAGAGCAAGTCACCTTCCAGTAAACCAGGCAGGAAAAAAATTATTCTTTGAGCAAGAGTTTAGCTTAATATATACATACGATTTCCACTGAAACTGAAAGCAATCAATCGCTTAATCACTTGCCTAGAAAAAGGTTAAACCTACCCTGCCCTTACATATATCTAGCAAGATTAGAAGGGACATGTGAGCAAATTTCAGTATAGCATAGAAACAGGAACAAACTTTAGAGATACTTAAGCAATCCCAAGCCCAGGTTTCTTAAAAAAAAAAAACAAAACAAAAAAAAACCCAAAAAATCCAACCAAATAAAAAACCCCACACCCAAAAAGTAAACCTGCACATTAAGATATAAATCAGTAACTTAAGAATATGCATTTGGAAGGAATTTCTCCAGTGAACAAGTTATTATACAAGCATAATTTTTGATACAGGAAACTCAGAGCCTGATTATATCGTTTGACTTGACACTGAAATTCCTATATTTCAAAATCATTTTCTACTGAAGTGCATTGCAGGATTTGCAATCTCAGTATTTGAGATTGCCAGTGTTCAGAAAAAAAGGAAAATGCAAATTGTACAGGAAAGAACTCTTTAAATTAATACATCTGATATTTTATTCATTTCCTGCTACAAATCAAAACACACTACAGCTTTCACTAGCTGACGAGAAGTGAAAACAAAAGGGTACCAAATACACAAGGTGTTTCACTCAAAACAGATAATCATGAAAGAGGAGAAAAGGTAAGAGACTGAAGTACTACTTGATGTTAAGTTCTGACCTTGAACACACACAGTGTACTCTGCCAGGATGAACTATATAGAGGTAATATTTTGAAGGCATATACGGAACCAATCTCAAAACATTAGGACATACCAGAGTATATACACCACTCAGAAAGAATGAGAGGATCTTTTCTTCAACTTCAAAATACACAAAATTATTTGAGCTACCAAGACTGGTGCACCACTGACCCAAACACCTGCCTTATTTCTTTAAATGAGCCTATCTTCCTTCACATTCCTAATTATGAAAGCTGTGTCCCCACCAGCTGACTGACACCCTGCAAGCTCTTTGTGATACAGATATCCTTTCTGATGGTTTACTTTCAAAGAGTCACTACTACGTGTTTCATACTATGTGATCAGGATGTGAAGTATACTTTAATAACAGAGAATATCTGAAATATTCTTGACAAGAACACAGTTACAAAAACCTCTGATGCACACTATCTACTAGCAAGCCACATGTAAAGGACAACTACCTCTAAAAAGCTAAGATTTGTACAAAGGAAAAAAGACATCATCACCTAATACCGCATTTCTCTTCTATAGTATGAGAAATATGTATGACATCAGTCCAGATTTTTCAAGGCATTAGGACTGGTGCATGCCATGGTCTCAAGTGACTATCTAAAAAATGCAGCTGAAGGGCTGGAAGGACTTTTTAATGCAATACACTCTTACATTACAAATAAGACAAGATGTGAAACAAAACCTTGAGAGGGAAATCTCCTTATTAGTATTTCTGTTTACATGAACAGAGTCATGTACAAAGTCAAAGCACTGCATTGCATAACTGAATCAAACACCAGCAATACAAACAGCGTGATATCAAGTGAGCAACGAGGTTGCTTTAAGAAACCAGGACGCTGCATCCTGAAGCTTACTGATTGTTGGGCTGAGGGGGACGCTAAAGCAGCAGATAAAGTTGATGCATTTGTTGTAAACTTTCCAGCATTCAAGCTTTATTTGTCCGAGTTTGATACTCCCCTCTGTGGGTGGAGAAGCTGAGGGACTGGCTGACGTCACCCAAAGAGTAGGGATAAGAGCAGTGCCCAGAGCTTTGGAATGAGTAAAACTTCTTAGGAGATATAAAAGGTCGGCTGCCCTGTCTGGCAGGTGCTCTGCTGACAGCAGCCTTCCTCCTATAGCTCAACTTCTCACACAGACCCAAGGAGACAAGAACAGTAAAAAGGAAACTCTGTCCACAATGCCACAAAATGTTGTTCTCCAAGGACCGTCACCCTGGGGATTCAGGCTCTCAGGAGGAATAGATTTTAACCAACCCTTAATCATAACCAGGGTATGTACTCTTTCCATTTCCTTTCTGTTTGTTCCATTAAATAGTTGTTGTAGATTTCCATCTTTTATTTTTCTGGAGTTCAGAGATGCAGACAAAGCTGTGAGTAGATAAAATAGTAGCTGCTTGCTCTGAGGAAAGCCAGCTGAATACTAGGAGTTATTATAATGTGTTGTGTGACATGTTTCTGTATTGGTCTAAAAGACTTTAACTGCACTTTTACTTAGGTCTCAAAATTAAATTCAAGTGCCTTGGCAGCAGAAAAACCCTGGCATGATTTCCCAGGCTTTCAAAATTACATTTAAGCCCACTAAAAGCAAGACCTCACTTTTATGCTTTCGACAACTAGCCTCTCTGATCATTGCGGGAGGAAACTGCTTGGCAGCAGCTCCTCATGCCTGGGAGTTTGTGCTTTGCAGATTACTCTGACTCCTATTTAATTAAACCAAGTTCTGTTTACTGCCAGCAAAGGCAAGAATAACTGTTTTTACATATCTGAAAGTCTTCACTTTCATGAATGTTAAGTGTGAGTTATTAGAAAGCTACCCAGCCCTGCATACAAAAGAGGGTGGGTTATTTGGTGGGTTTTTGCCATATTTAGAAACTAAAAGTTTACCTTGCCCTCCCTCCCCTAATAAAAGGCAAGAATTTGAGCCTTCATTCTTTTTCATGGATTTTGAGGTATTAGCTGCAGTATAAGAAACCAGTGACTCGATCAATGTAGCATACAATACACTGTCAGCTGCCCTGCACCTACAGATGTGGATCTGCTCAAAAGACAGGATATATATTTTGAGAATTTCTATCTTTTAAAAATTCTGCTCAATGCACATCAGGCTAGAATTCATTCTCCTTATATTTCTGCTGCTTTTCAGGACCTTAGACACACCAAATACATGTTCCATGAGCCTCCAAATTGCTATAGGGTTTTTTGGTTTGTTTTTTGTTTCTTTTAAAGCCCTACACTATTACTCACTATATACACTATACCTGGTATTGAGTAAATGTCAAAAGCCTTGAAGGATGGACACCACTAATGATGTCTCGCAGTAAATATGCTTCTAACCAAGAATCAATAGAAAGTTTAAGGACCATCTTTTCACATATTAACTACTAAAAATTAACTTCATGATTCATTCCAGATTTATAAAAGCATTAAAAATATGTATTTTAAATAGAAGTAAATTAAAATGCTATTATTTGACTGAATGAAGTTGCATAACAACTATTCACAGAATATAGCAAAGCCTTTGGAGAAAGAGAAGACAGAAACACTGAATTTTAAAAAAAAATCTCTGGATGTTTTGGGGCCTCCATTGCCTTTTATGGGCCTCTAAAAGAAAAATAGTTTCCATTATCTCTAATGAAAAATATTTTAGCGGTGTCTGGTTTGTATTTTCTTTGTGTTTAGATTAAGTGCAATGAAGTTTAAAACTGCAATAACAAAGGATGTTACTATAAATATAACTTTCTAAAGAATAAATTACTTCGCAGTTGACTCATACCTACCAAATGCCTCACAAGACATAATCCATTGGTTTCTGGCATATTACAGAAATCACATTTCAAGTAGTACAATAACATATATATATATATATATATATATATATATATATATATATATATATATATATCTGTTTATATATATATATATATATATATATATATATATATATATATATATATATATATATATATATTATATATATATAGGAAAAGAAGGTTACATTTGCTTAGCTCACACTTAAGAATATTAACAGTAAATTTGTTTAAAGATAGTATTTTTGTTGCCACTGCATATATTTAGAAGAGTCCCTCAATAAGTATTCATGCAATACTCCTTAACAAATAGAGAATATTTCAAAAGATTCACCACTCTTGCCTCTTGGAGTCTAGATGTTCTTTTTGTAAAAGTTATCATAAGCAGCCCGTTCACACTAGGTTTAACTGTCCGGAGAAGAAAAGCATAACAATACATAGAAATTATTTTAAAATATATTCTGAATAAAATAATTGGACAGGTGTTAAGATTGGCTGGCTATGTCCTTGTTCAACAAGAGACAGCTTTTATCAGGACTTGTCAAGAGAGACAGACATAGGAGATCATTATCCACCTGTCTAAAGAACAGATGTCACTTCAAAAGCTCATGTAAAAAATTGTTCTGTTGTTTTGACTGTTTCAAGCAAATGCAAAAACTACAGACCATGATCACTGGGAGAGAGGAAGAACAGGAGGGGAGTAAAAGTCAATATATTCAAATTCTATTATGGTCAGAAACAATAAATTAACTACAAAGACTGAAAATATTAAAATCCTTGAACTTTGCATAGATGCAAATAAATTGCATTAATTAAACTTATTACAGGAACAATTGTAACTTTGTACAATTTGGAGAGAATGGTAAAACATTATCAAATCTATATTTAAGTTCTATTTTATTTTTATAGACCATTACCAACCACAATGCAAGTATTCATAGTAACTCAATTTTATGTTTAGCCACTCTGCAGACATTCATAGCTCTCTTCAGAAAATACAAAACCTGAAATATTTATGATGGTGTAAGGTGATAAACTTTACAAGTCCATTATCAGATGCAGAGATGTTTTCTTCAGTTTCATTGGAGACATTTGACCCTCACATGGTTAAACAGTTAGTCTGTGACATCTGAATGATCAACACATATTTTTGTATTTATCCAAATCCAAGACACCCAGGATACAGGAGTAACAGGCATACCATGCAGACATGGCCTGAAGAGCAAGACAAAAATCTTCCCAAAGCAACACTAAAATCTACCTCATGAAGCCAGGGTGAGCAAGCAACAAACACTACAGTCACACCACAATTCTAAGTGTTCAAAATACACAGTTAATGTGTCACTAATAAGAAACAGCACCACTTACATTATTGACAACATCATAGCCATGTTATCTTGCACTGCACAACATGATCCCTGCCTATAAAATGCTGTCTGCAGGGCAGGAGGCTGCTCTGCACCCTAGCAGACCTGGGCACGTAGAGCTCAGCACCCCCATCAAGGTCTTAAGGCCCAAGAGACACCTCAGGAGCTTGGCAATGATCAATTCAGCCAAGGAATAGAAAATACAGACTCCTGTGCCTTTGCTCCCACCAAATGACAGTAGCCCCATTCAAACATCTAAGTGCTTCACTGCAGCTGCTGACAACTTACAAAAGCAGGGATTTAGCAGCAGGGCATGTTCTGCTAGCAGCACAGCTGCAGGGGAATGCACTGTGCTAGGCAGATACACTACTTTATAAGGCAGGATCACCATCTCAGGGCTTTGCTGCAGTATGTCACAGGTACAGCAGACGATTTGTTGTGACTTGTAAAACACATAAGCTGCAGAGTAACCTCCATAAGAGTTATACAAGCGAAGTTACTCTTGAGAGGGAACCAAGAATGGTTGGTTTGCCCAGTTAGGTATTAAAGCATCAATAGTCACATCGGAACACAAAGAATTCTGCTGCAGTTTGTCATTGCAGACATATTCACATGTTAAGCCAAATCAGGAGCAATTCCATGTTGAAGGCAGAAGAGTGATCATACCTCTAACCCCTGTCATATTATAGTGGTGTAACAGGTCTCAGTGCTGATCACTTATACTTGCAGCTGTGGAAGTTTGAGAAGTAGACAATTTTAAAGATTTCAGACTCAGAATTTATAAACAACTTCCTCAATTCATATTCGAACACATTATTCAGGCGCCTGAACACTTTGTTAAGTACACAATTCACTAGTCCATTCTTTTGAAGACTGAGAGTGCAAAAGTCTGCAGCTGGCCACAAGCACCCCTTTGGAAAGTTTGCCTGACTTGATAATAACACATGCATTGTAGTTTGCTACAGTGATATCAAAAAAAGGTTACATGCAGGAATGCAGAAAAAGAGCTCGCAAAAGAACCTCTTTGATCATTCAGACTCACCTAATGGAGATGGAAAGAGGAGAGAACTACTCCCCTTCACTGATTTTTGACATTATTTCAATACTAATACAGTGCAGCTCATAATAAAAAAATTTATATTTGGCTTTTATGTTGATAGTAGTGTTCCCTTCAGAGACAAGTCTGCCAGCTTCACCAAAGCTGGAGTTCAGAACATGCTGGAAGTATGCTGGGCAGCTTACTCTCTTGCTTTGCTGGAAAACTGTGAAATACCAGAGCTGAATGATGCCCCCACAGTATGTTTTGCAGTCAAGACAACATGTGCTTTCACTATATCAGAAAATAGTAAGAAAAATTCTCTCCAATAACTTTTTCATTTAATATATGCCATAGGTAAAAGAACTGCATTTGGAAATAAAACTATAGTGACATCTTTTTGCCTTCACACTGGGATTTATTTACTTACAAATAGGCAGCTAATGTTACTTTGCATGACCAAACTTGTCCCTTCTGCTGTTCAAGAGCTGAATTTCAGAAGTGTATGTGCTACATGCATCAATTTCATGTTGCAGTCCAGGTAATCAAGAGATGCCCAAAATGGCAATACACATGTAAGGGACAGAAATCCCACTCAGTCACCTAATATCTCTTTGTGTATGTGGTATGTGTAAGTGTTGTGGTAGCAGAAGAAGTCACCTCTTGCAAATAGAGGCCTGTAATTCTAGAACAAGCTTCAGTAACATCTAAGGTCGTGGCCTCTCTACCATAGTTATTTTAAAGCAAAATTATGTTGTATTTCAATTAGTTTCACAATTGTACAGAAGTTTGTCAACTAGACAGAAAAAGAAAAAAGCAAGCATAGAAAGATAAGCTTAGGGCTATTTCTGTAAATGCCACAGATGGTGGTACATATACATAAAGTATGATTTGCTCCACACAGACCACCATGAAGGATCAGGGCCACTGTTACTTAAATGCCATGGGATTTAAACCTAATTACTCTAAGGAGTTTAGCAGCATAATTTCTTAACAGTTCTTTTCTACTGCTGGTGTTGTTAAGGGGAAAACATAACTTTTTTTCAAGCAAATTATATATATAATGACAGTAGAGAAAGAATATTTAAAGATGAGTTACAGAATTAACATTAAGTAATGGTGAGTAATTACAGAAATCAGAGTGGAAACTAATGCAGAAAGGTGAAGATAATTTCTTTCCAATTTGGAGTTATGATGAATAAAACATTCATGTGGTTTCCTGACAATAGAACTACTGAGCCTTTGGCAAAATACCTCCCTCATCCAACAGGAAATAGGAGAACATGATGAAGTTTATTTTCTCTATCAGTTTTTAGGCATGCATGGTGATTAAGCAGTTACATTTTGGTCTTTTCAGATTACACCTGGAAGCAAGGCTTCAGCCGCCAACCTGTGCCCTGGTGATGTTATTATAGCTATTGATGGTCTAGGCACAGAGAACATGACACATAATGATGCCCAGGAGAGAATTAAAGCAGCTACACATCAGCTTTGTTTGAAAATAGAGAGGTACGTGTACACATCTGCCTATTTCTGAAAGAAGATACTACTCAATCAACAGTACAATTATTATATGGTCTAACTATTCAAAATAGTTTGAGGAAGTTCTCAAGATCCTTAAAATTACAAGCAACCAGACCTACCTCTTAAACTCCAGATCAAGCAAGACTCCCCAAAACTCATCTTTGTAGGCAAAAAAAGAACAGCTTCCCTCAGGTTATTCCCAGTGTAATTCTGCTGACTGTACAAGTCCTCTGTTCACTGTCAGTAAGCAAGCAGCTCTTCATGTTTTGGAGAAGTAATAAAATCATCTAGTGTCAGTTGTTCAGTGACCTCTCTGCTATAACACTCCCTCAGCCACAGGAGCTTATCACTGCCTCCTTCTCCCAGCCACTCATAAAGCTGAAACTGCATCATCCCAGTTAGAGAAAACAACATCATGTCACACTTTCATAAGGGGTGACAAAGGAGTGAGTTGAAAGCCAATCAATCTCTTTGGTCACAACATATTAGCCTAATAAAGGATTCTCAAAGCAATGTTCAAAATAAAACTGAGAAACACTGTCTTACCTGAACTGCAGTAATCCAGAAACTTTTGTTTGTTTGTACTTTTCTCTCTACCAGAGCCAGGAAGAGAAACAATCTGCAGCTTCACATCTCCAGCTGAGTTTGTTCAGCCTGTAATCAGAATCACTTGGCACACTCTTTCAGCTGTCTCCAAAACTAAGACAGGGCTGATTAACCTGAGGCTCTCAAGGAGGCACAGCTCTTTATTGTAGCTGACTACAATATTTCTTTTGAAATACAAAAGTGTTTCTTATTTTTTAAGGAGTTTTGTTGGATTGCTAGAGCACACATCGTAGTTTAAAATTCTTCCTGTTAATTCAATATTCTGCTACAGTTTGATATGCCATTTAACAACTATCTTGGGATGTCAGTTTCAAGATGTGATAAATATATATAGAACAAGCAGCACCAGATTAATATTTAACGTTACTACTATGCTACTTTAAAATTAGCAGCCACATTTCACTTTGTCAATAAAAACAGAACTGTAACTGATATTTTCATGTTTGTTACTCCTGCCTACGTCACTGAAAGAATCATCTCTGCAACTTCAATTTCCCCTTGTAAATACTTTGCATACTTAGATTGCACTTCAGCATTAAAAAGCAGGCTTGACATGAGAGTTATGGTCTTTAAAAAAAAATAAATTGCTGTTTAGGATTATTACTAATATATTCAGTTATTCATATAAAATATTCTGAGGATCCAACATTAATTCTTGTAACCATTAAAAAAAAAAAAAAAAAGTTTGGTCAGCTCAGGTCAGAAAGACATTAATCTCCCTTTCCTTTTGCATTTGGTAACTATTAACAACCTATTTCCCATTGTTAATAGCATACTTTTTTTTTTTTTAAGCAAATACATTATATACATCGGTTACCTATCAGTGATATATTTTTATGTCAAAATACTAAAAAAGCATAGAAAAAGCCTGCAGATTTACCAGCTGCATTATATTTTATGGGGACATACACAACTCCATAAGAATTCAAATTATTTAAATTCTGCCTTTCTTTCTTTCTAGGGCAGGAACTAAATTATGGTCCCCACAAGTTTCAGAAGATGGCAGAGCACATCCCTTTAAGATAAATTTGGAAGCTGAACCCCAGGTATGAACTCTGAAAAGTTACCTAAACATTTTCATTTGCCTTTTTAAACTCAAAAAAATCTCTCTTGTGGTCATTAAAATTCTTTAACTAGAACTTCATCCATAATTGGCCAGTTTAAACTCATATGAACCACCATGACATCCAAGAACATCATTTTATCTGACTCAATGTTTTTGATTTTTCAGCTGTAACCAAAACAAAACATTAAAAAGCTACAACAAATTCACATTTTCCTTTAAGAGTCTACATATCTCCATAGTTTTATTATAGAAATAAAAGAAGCCCTCTTATTCTGATACAGTTCAAGTTGCTTTAACTCTTTTAGAGATTCTTCATCATATGAAGAAGTTCTTCATTCAGCAATAAATATCAAGTACCTAAGTGATGAACTCATCAGATCACAAAATTCATTTGGATGTAGTCAGTTAAATTGAGAGATCTTTAAATGATGATCTCTTTACCTCCATACATTTTTATACTATGCCACAGAACTGAAGTTTACATATTCACAAAAGACCCATGTACAGGTCAATAAGCAAATCACTCACCACTGCTGACTAGGAATGTCTTGATCACTGTAAATGACTAAAGCAAATCCAACCAATCAACAGCCATCTCTCTTTTCAAACTCAAAAAAAGAAAAAGCTACTATGAGTCAAAGCCTTCATATTGCTAATAGCAAATTAGCTAGATACTGCTTACAATTCATCCTTTACTTCTTTGTCATTCCTCTTTAACCTACATAAACATTTGCTGTTATCTCAAGAGCAGGGAGGGAAGGAGGGAAAGATATTCTGCTGATCCTGGAAGGCCTGGTTCAAAGCAACTATTTATTCAAAGTATTTATTCTGTGATATCCTAGGGAAAAAAAAAAGTAAGTCTAGATTCCATTTCAATGATCCCTGTGCAATAAATACTTCCACCAATTCTGCTTTCGCAGAGATGCTCCCAAACATAAATACAGCACTTCAGTGTTACATTTCTCTCTCTTTTTTCTGATCTAAAACTTGCATTAAGTAATACAGCAAACTCCATCAGAAATAATATAGCCTCTTCAGCAGCAGAAATACTATAGTGAAGAAACAAAACTATTTTAAATGCATATTCTTGTAGAAGAGCTAGGATACACATTAGCTGTGGAACAAATTAATTAAAAAAGCTATAGAGAAAACCATGCAGGTATGTATGACACAAGAGCAATCCCCCTGCATGAAAGCTGCATTCCTAAAAAGGACAGTTCCTTAAAAATAGATCACAAGATTTAACTAAGTGATATTTGGCAGACTATTGAAATGCAGCCTCCATTGGACAATCTGAAAAATTTTCTCCTAGATTAAACAGCCAGCATTTTCATTTATTATATCTCTTTTTCATTCCTAGGAAGTTCAGAAGTACTGAGTATATTTCATAAATAGCAGGCATCCAAAAAGTAGCAATCCTTGCAAGCAAATAACCATTCCTGTAATGTTTTACATTTTATATTAAATACTTCCATCTGAGCATCTATCACTTCCCATGAAAAAAAAAAATATATATAGCCTGTTTTTCTACAATTGCTGGAATTTAAAATTAAATTTTGCAGCATATTTAGTCACAACACGAGACACAGCAGCATGTATACCAGTACAGAAAACAGTAAAATTTCTGGAATCTCAGATGACAAATTTTTGCACAACTACAACCTGTGCTGTCCAAGTCTTCTAAAACAAAAATTTCACTGTCATCAAATAGACATTTTAAAATTCACTAAGAATGTTATGAGAAGACAGTTATTTAAGATACATTATGAGCCAACTAAATAACAATAACAAATGACAACTTACACAGTCTTCTTAATAAGTACCTAATTCAAGTGTGTAAGCTAATAAAAGATACTTACAAATGAATGGAAACTCTATTTTGAACTGTTCAGCTATGTGGCCAAATATTTGGCCAAACAATGCTTACTTTAGCTTCAATGAATGCAAATTATTCTATGGGTGCATGGAGATGGCTGTGTAAAACAATTACATACTGTGCCTACATACAGCTATGGAACAAGGAACCTTCACACTGTAGCAACCTTGTGAATCAGCCTGAGAATCTCCCAAAAACCATCTGGAGACTGATGCAGGCAATTGTCAGAGCACTGAGAAATTTCTCACTATTTTTAAATCTGGGAAGAGGAAACTGAGGCAACAGTTCTAATCCACAGCAATAAGTGGCTGACAGAGAGTCACTCTTGAAAGCTACACATTCCCACATAAAAAAACAGCCACCCTGATTTTGATAGCCTGGAACAACCTAGTGTGATGGATATGTAATAGGAAATATAGGAAATAGCAGACCACTTGAAGAATTACTAATACAATCACATTGTATTCTGAATAAAAGCAATTTAGAACATAAGGTTCTCAACAAATTTAAGTGGAAAAAGAAAACAAAACCATCTAAATGGCAAATTGTATCACCAATTATTTTTAAAATGCTTTCAACTATATTGTCAATGTAAAAGAATATAATGACTCATAAATGTTTTCTGTTATGATCCCTTTAACCTCATTGAAAATAATTTTGTATTCATTGCCACAATTTCTTGAATTGTTTTTATTTGAACTTTTCTTTCTTACTTCTATCTTTGCCTTTGAACACTTTGTTCAGTCAGACTAGACTTTTGGCCATCAAGGAGATTATACATTCCTGGGAGATATATTATGCATGTAAATAAGTATAAAAATCTAAAAAAAACATAACCCATTGTTCTAAGAAGTAAGTTTATAGTCTATTACATTATAATCAACTTTTGAAACAATATAATTGTGCTGGGCTAGTTTTGAGGACCTACCTCTCTTTATTCAAAGATAGATGAGCATTCAAAGATAAAGTTCTTAGTTACATGATATCTCCAAATTGTACACATTTGTGTTCTATAACAGCAATTACCCCAAGAAATGCCATCATATAGGCTATGATGGATGCATTTCTACAGGCTTTTGGTGCTACATTATTTCTATTCCTGATACCTGTATCAATGCAAAAATGTAGCTAGCCCCGAAAAAAAAAAATTAGTCAGTTGGGAAAAATAATTAATAAATTAAGTACTGTAACTTTCCAATATTCCTATTTTGAAATTTCAACAATTTCCAGTTCTCATTTAGCTTTTTGAACTAAAGGAGGACTTCTCACACATTCAACGATATCAAACAAACACAAGAGCTGGACTATTTTTGCTGCTGTATGTTCTGTCACTGACATTTTATATTAATAGATGAGTTATAAAGAAAGCAGATTTTAAGTCTCACTAACTGCAAGTTGTTTCACAACTGTTACATTGTAAACATGCTGTTATGGTGCCACATCATCTGCTCATTTCTCTATAAGAAATGAAATATGGGGATGAAATTACAATGTTCACAGTTGGTTTTGTTTGTTTTGTATCATACATGGATTTGAATAAATTTTAAATACTTCAAAATTAATATCTTTCATTAAGCAGACATGATCCTAAACTATTAGATTATTTCCATTTACTAATACATTTTGTTAACTGCAACTCCTTTCTATCAGACAGAAAGAAGGAATTGCAAGTAAAACCTTTGTGCTCATTTATCTGATTACTGCTTTCAATAGCTTCTTAAAGTGCAATGCCGCTAAACATTTTCATTTAATAAAACTGCTTTCTACTGTTTGCATTTTCTGGTTGCATATTCTATATATCCATGACTTTTCTTTAGTGTGATCCTAAATATATTTTGGAAACTGTTGTATAACAATTGTACTCAAACCAAAACTGGAGAACTGGAAAATATTTCTATGAAAATTGAAGTATTAACCTGTGCTATCTTAACATTGAAAGTTCAAGTTTGTAAAGAAAACACCAATTCAGATTGTAGAAACCTATTTGTTAGAAACAAAAGCTTTTTATTACATATGGATGGAAGTTCAAATGGTCTCATAGCGCTATTTCCAAGGAGTGCCACATGCCATCAGGACAAGGTCATGGACTGCAGCAGTTAATGTTCTTTCTTCACCCACTAGGGAAAAAGGAAAAAACCCTTGGCAGATGACAACATTTTCTTTTTTTCAAAAAAAAAAGAAATTTTTTCACTATTTCTGAGGCTTAGGAGTGGATCTGAGCTGGAAGGGACCCAAAGGACACTGTAATAAATACACAAAATACAAATAAGTGAATTTTCATGCAGTCAAATGTCTTTATCATTCCTGGCCAACCACTACAGAAGGACACATTAAGATATCTGATAAAACATTAGAGATCTTATTTTCAGACCTTATCCTTTTGAATTCCACAAATTGAAGAAATTATCCTGGCAAACGACAAAAAAAGTATGGCAGAATATGGGCACATAGGCAGAACGATTTCTAATTTACCTATTTCTGGGTTTTACTTATTTATGACAAATTTACATTAAATTGTAGAGCAGTGCAATTTTTGATACACAGATATGCTTTAGAAATTAAATACATTCAAAATAATATCCTTAATCTGATGTATGTTCAATATTTTTTCTCAGTTAAAAGAAGCATTAAAAATTATGTGTTTTCTAGGTAAGACAATAAAATCATATTTTTGGAAGTCCTTCTATCACTATGTGATGAAAATGAAAAAGCTAGAGATTAACACTAAAGCAAAGAAATTAAGATAAGCATACATGAAATGTTTTAAAAGAATGATGTAAACCATGTCAAATCTGTTGACCAACATGAAAGGTTACTGTAATATTCATCCCTCCCATTGCTTCTAAGCCTTCTGCTTTCCTGGAGGTGACAAATTAATATGTATGGCTCAAGCAATACATACAAAAATCATGGAAAAATATAATATGCTTGCACCAGTTTAAAAATAACAGAGTTGCAAAAGTAAAAACGCAGTCATTAACAATACTGGTGTTGTCAGATTTACTCATTGCTAGCTTTGGTGTGCATTGTAGCTCTGTGTGTTTTGTCTGCCTATCATGTACAGGAATTCAAGCCTATTGGTACAGCTCACAACAGAAGGGCCCAGCCTTTTGTTGCAGCAGCAAATATTGATGACAAAAGACAGGTAGTGAGCTCCTCCTATAATTCTCCAATTGGGCTCTATTCATCTGGCAATATTCAAGATGCGCTTCATGGACAACTGAGGGGTCTCATTCCTAACTCATCGCAAAAGTGAGTATTGGCATTTACTTATGATACATCGTCATTTGTGGTATATCATTATCTGTTCTGTTTTCAATTTTAAAGTCCAGCTCTTGCTGTTTTTTTCTGAGAATCAGGAGATTATTCATTATCCAAAAAAAAAGGATGATCAAGGAAATATTTTTTTCCAACACCAAGAAGTATCCATTCAGCTTTCTAAGTAGCAATGCTGCAGGTAGCTAAAATTTACCCTCCGCTTTGGGTTGCAACACTACCCTCCAACCTTCTCTCCTGTAAGTGCACTTTACTCTGAATGTTTCTGAACACTACAGTGATTGCATTTTGAGCACCAGGAATGAACAAACTAAACATGGTTACTTTATGGCTAAAATTTGTAAACATGTTAGCTACGCTTAAACTAGAAAGCATTATGACTGAATGAGCATTTGTAGGCCAAAGAAAGGTATTTTATCTCTTTTTTCTTTACAGGATATCAACTACTTTGAACACAAGCATAATATTCGGCCCAAACCCTTCATAATCTCAGGCCGAAGCAGGTTATAAACTTCGAGTGCTGTGCTGGATTTGTTGCATGGTGTTATTTTTTTAATGGACAGATACTCACCGTTGACATTAATTAAGCATTCTGATGCATTTGAAATTTACTTGTAGTAGTAGACAGCATAATGCTGAAATTAAAAGCAAACAAACAAGAAGACTTTCAGAGCTCAGGCTTGACATTCAAATTTCTCTTTCCAAAAGAAAGTAGATCTACACTCCCATCTCAGTTACACTGATCAGAGTCTGAAGTAACTGCAGCCATGATTCAGTTTACAGTGCAGCGCCAGATATTGTACACTTACAGATCTTTGGCACTGTGAACTTCTTCTGACCAAATGTACTGTAATTTGTTAACATGCTAAATAAAAGCTACATGGTACATATATATTACTTATTACATATAAATAAAAGATAGCCTACATATAAATAAAGATAGCTAAAGATAGAGAGTTATAAGCTAGGCCATTCAGAGATTTCAAACTTGCATTTCAGCAGACCTCTTTCCAGAAGGTAATCTAATGCTGAGCTAAAAGTAGGAAAACTGATGACACAGATTTGTAAAGTTCCAATGCAGAAAATCTTATATATTTATATCCACCATTTTTGTGTAATAAACCTCCATCTTAACTGGTGATGAAATACCTCACTACTGTTTTCATTATTACAGAGGGGAAAAAAACAATGAAAACTCTGTGGCTAAAAAATAAAGGAAACTCTAAAGGGCCTGAGGGATTAAATATATTGTGATGTGATCCTTTATCCTTTCTATCAGTAGCAGTTTGTGGGATCAGTAGGTAGCACGTAAAGCTGGCTTTGGGACCGCTAGGTACCATTCTACAAGTGCCTAGATTTATGAAAAGTCAAATGAGTATCAAAAGCCTAATCTCACAATTCAGAAATGAAAATGATGTAGTATTTTCCATTAAAATGTTGAAGGAAATGGCCTCTTACCAAAATATAAGATGAAGAAAATAAACTGCAAAAACTACTCCAGCAGCAATGCAACAAGTTTAAGAACTTTGGCTGAGCAAGGTCTGTCCAGAATTCTAGCCCTGGGGAGGGTCTGCAAACTGCAGAATCTCTGACACAGGGCTTTACATCTACAAAACCTTGGTTTGTCACAGTTTTTCTACTACTTTTTCATCAGCTGGACACAATCCACTGCTAAACACAGCAAAAAACAAACGACCACCTCAGCTCTAAATATCCCTTTAGAACAGAACAGCAGAGGCTAAATAAGACTTTGACTAAAAGAAGACATGACTGTGGACTGTGAGTTTGAGCTAATGGATTGGACATTGGACAGAATTTTGGACTTTACTCTGGTGAAACTAACTGGAAATTTTCTTTAATATATAACTATATGTTGTCTATTTTTTTACCTATAATTTATTCTTTTTTAATATTAATTTGGCTTCACGTAGCAAGAGTGAGAGTTGTGTTTTTCTAGTCTTTTCTTGCTACATTCCATTTACTAACACTGTTAGCACTGACAAAACTTATTCTACTGCACGATCTGATGGTGCTATTGTTTCTTCTAAAAGAAAATACTGCAAATATGTATGTTGCCCTGTGTGAATTTTTTGGCTGGCTCATGTTTGGTGATGATGTACAACTATATTTGCATTAAGGCTTGCGTACCATTTCAGGAATGCTTTTTTTTGATGTGCCTTTGATGAAAAAATATATATTTCCCTTTAAAACTTTGAGAAAGTAGTCCTACACAAATTCTGCTTTGAATCAAAGGGAGAATTCTGAGTTTTCTACTCCACCCAGGAGTAGCTACTGGGCAGAGTTCTGTACTATCAAACTGGGAAACAGAGCATTGTCGCATTGTCCAGGTTTACACAGAACCCTGATATCAGGGTTGATTATATAATTTATTATGCCACAGAATATCACATAAACAGTAACCAATGACTGCAGAAAGATTTGGTTATGTGCTGTTACACAGCAACAGCAAAGAAATACTCCATACCAAAGAAAGCCTTTGAGGTACTATGCAGGCAAGATTGACGTGTTCAAAACAGTGATACCGAAAAAGACTTCAGGTCTAATATTCACATTCTTTTGCTAATCTTTTTCCAGGTATGTTGAATTGGAGTACAGTTACTTCAGTCATGTCAAGCAACACTACTATTTTTAAAAAGTGTGCCTCTTATTTTTTATATATAAATTATATGCAAAGTCTACTTCAAAAGCCGTAAGTTTAATTCTCTAAATTATTAACCCATTGTTCTTGTGAAGGACCACTTTACATTCTACTGGAAACACTGTAATTTAGAAAAGCAAAAGTAAGCCTGGATGTTTGAGTAACTTTTCTTCTTTGTATTGATCAACAAATACTTTTTTTTAAAAAGTTGTTAAACTAGTTCTAAAAGATTCATATATATCTTACTCTAGAATTGAAGTAAATCTAGGAAATGTCACATTCATTATTTTACACTACTTCATAGTAGTTTTTCAACAGTGTAGTGAGATGATTGTGAGGTACAGAACTGGAATGATGTGTCTAGGATTCTTCCAGTGATGCAGGTGTTTATTCTGTCTCTGGCATGAACAACTTACACTCTGGCATGAACAACTTACATAAACTTTGCCTGCTACTTCTTTTATAGATTGTAAGAATTACTCACTTAAAACAAAGAATTTTAGGGAGGTTTAATTATTCCTCAATAAAACCTAACATTAAAAATGTAAAATAATGTTATATACTGAATTATTTACTCTATCAAAGGATTTTTACTATCTTTACTATCTATTAAAAAAAAAAAAAGCATGCTAGAATTTTAAGGACTGCTTTATAGCTGGCCTTGATACTTTTATAGGAACTATCATCAATGACTACACATACTTTTGCTTTTCTCCACTTTTTGTACTTTTGCTTTTTGGAGCTTGTTCCGTTTATGCTTTTCAGCGCTGTTAACATCACGGTACCCCTGTCCTTTTGTCTTTGCTCTCTGTAATGCCATGCACACTGCTCCCTTTCCTGCACTCTGGCCATGAACACAGTGGATGCAGCACTCCTTCGGGGCTGGACTGCGGCAGTGGGCGCAGCACCCCCTCTTCAATTAGCACGGTCAGCTCCATCTGCCCCACCGAGCTGAAAGCAGTGTCCAAGATGGCCCCTAATGTTCCCCTGGAGATGGAGCTCCCCGGTGTCAAGATTGTACACGCTCAGTTTAACACGCCTATGCAGCTGTACTCAGATGACAATATCATGGAAACACTGCAAGGCCAAGTTTCTACAGCTTTGGGGGAAACACCTGTCATAAGGTAATTAGAGGGGCATCTATAATATTTATGAATACACAAATTTAAAGTACGCCAAAAAATAGTATCACACTGTTTCTATGAAAAATAGGGAAAAGGTTAGAGAGAAACCAAGTAATTTAAAACCATTCAGTATTTTCACTAAAATACTAGTCATTTCTGGGTTTTAACCAGAAGTATTAAAGGAGTCCTTCAGAATGTACAAATAAATATTTCATAAGTAATAATCTTAGAACTGCAGCTAATAAATAAAAAACTATGATACTACCTGGACTATTACCTGACTGACCACTCCAAGACTCCAATTCCCTCCAAAATTTAAAACTTTTAAATAAACTGTTATATTTATCTAATTATGATTTCATAATATCCTCTTATTAATAATTCATAAAATAATAAATAAAATTTATATCCACCGTTGAAATTCAGGTTACGAAGATTAGGAAATATTATAGATTATTGTCATGTTCCAGATACTTAACCCCCATTCTAGACAACTCATTCAATACAACTAGATCTTGTGCAAAAAGAGACAGAATTTACTGTAGGCCTACAAATCCATGTCTGACTTATGAATTCATTCAGTGCACAACTAAAGTCAGGTAGGAACTTTACATATATAGATAACAATTATGATTATACAATAAAAACTTTTAAAGCACTATTAATTATTTAGGAGACAATCCACCATTTAAGTTGCTTTATCTTTACCTCTGCACAATAGTAACCTATTTTCCTGATTTATAACAGTACTTAAGTTAATTCATAATATGTATGGTGTAAACTAAAGCTAATTACTAATATTTTAAATAAGCAATAATCACTGGCACCAATGAGCCTTCTTCAGCACCTTGCAGAATTTGGCTGTTGCTAACAAAAAAATCTATATTTCTATAAAAGTATTTCGGTTCATCCTATCTAATGAAAACTGTAGTCCATGAAGTCTTTTCAGAGTGAAGTTACTCTATTGCTTAAATATTTATGCTCAATCAGAACAATTAATGAACACTAAAAAAATATATTTGCTGCTTCATTATTGTGAAAAAATGGATTAAGTTCAAAGCAATCAGATTTCACACTGCCTGTGACATCGCCTACTCTCTCTATGCAGGTTTGAAATGTTTCTTGCTGTGGGATAGTTTTCACTATGTATGCATTAAGAAATGTAAGATGACACATTTGCGTCTGGGTTTTTTGTCTTCTTTATGTAATTGCATTATCACTTGCTTTATATATATTTTAGTAAAGAAGAGAGAATTCAGGGATTTAATTAAACATTGCCAAGAATTGTAAAAACTACACTACTTCTATTCATTAAAAGCTTCTGACAAGAGAAACCGGTAGATTTTTCACCAGCTTAAAGATGTCTCAAAGAAATCTACTGATTGATGAAGATCAAAAAATTCATATAAGCAACAGCTTATATGAATCACTGTCCAACTGCTGCCACTCTTACTGGGCCATTTATCAGCTTGGATGCTACCATGGGAAACCAAACCATTTAAAGCAAAACCTGTCTAATTCTTTGTGGACAGTAGGAAGCCAGTTGAAATAGGAAATTTAAACTGGACATTTGTGCGTGTAGCTGTAAGATAACAGACTTCATCAAAGTATATTTGGCTGATTCTGATTACCCCCAGCAAGTGTATGAAATTTAGAAATGCTACATATTCAGTCTACCTCCTGTCCGTGCATATAGTCCTCTACTCTTCCTCTTGACTACTTAGGATGCCATTTATCATGAACAATTTAAAATATTCAGCAAAGTTTAAAATGCCATTAAATATTCTCAGTAAAATCTTTGTCTCACAGGTCATTTGAGATCCAACCATCAACTGCTGTTTGGACAATAAATTACTTTATATTTTTTTATCATAACATTGCCATTGCAAAAGAAAGTCTTGTCTTATTTTTATTAAATTAAGAAATAGAACTTCCATTTTTTAGTACTCACCTTACAGTGTTTCCTATTTTGCAATACTTATTTCACTCCTTTTTGTAATCTCCGTATGTTTAATAAATAACAATTCTCTTAGCCAACTAATCGCTATATTACCTAACTTAGAAGTCATGCTCTCCCAAAATATTTGACTGGTTAGGTTTTGGCTGACCTTATGTAAAGGCATGAGCTGTGATTTTAACAACATTCTTGAGGGCAGCTGCTGTAAAAAGGGAACTTCTGGATACCATAGCAGAGAGCACTTGGTAATATGGCAGATGATTACTGGAATGAAACTTCTGTGAGGTTAAATGGCTTTTCTCAAATGCCAGTATAGCCAAAACAGTAATTATGGAAATATGTAAATTAGTTTCTAGATTTATTTTTGTAACAGTTGCACTGATTTAAGTTTTTTCATTACTTTTTAGATCAAAAAGAGGCTATATAAAGCAATGCTACCTAGAAGAAAGTTTCTTAATAGTCGTAGGAACACATCTTTATGTTTGTTTCCTGAATCATACTCTATGCCTGGTAAAGATATTGCTTTAGAGTTATGTTTGATAAACTGTTTTTATCTGCTCTTCTTTCTCTAACACAGCAACCCATCTCCCAACTCAGTGTCTCAGTCTGACGTGTACAAGATGCTGCACGCCAACCAGGAGGAGCCCAGTCAGCCGCGCCAGTCTGGCTCCTTTAAGGTGCTCCAGAATTTAGTCTCCGAGGAAGGTGGTTAATAACAATATATTCTACCTGTTCATATCATTTTAAATGTTTGGGGGGGGGGGGGTGTGGGGGGGAATTCATGAAGAAAATAAGAAAGATCAGAGATACAAGAATTTCTGAAAGCCCAAATCATTCCAGATCTCATAGTTACCACACCAGCCTCCTGCCATTTCCCCTCCTTACTTTAATAGCAAGCAGTCTCCTCTGTGAATACAATGCAGGTGCTGATTACATTTTCCAGAATCTCCTCTCAGATTTTAAGATCTTTAATATCCAAAGTTGACTTTAACTGAACAATAAAGTTTTATCTGTGAGAATTTTTGGGACAAGCTGCTTATACTCATGACACCAAGAAAGAAAACACCCTCTTCCACATCTAGGAAAAGAGGAATTTAAACCAACTCCTGAAATCCCCTTAAAACCCATTTCCTCTTCATTCTAAATAAAAACTGAAGAAGACAATATAATTTGTAATCATATTTCCGTCAAATGAAATTTTGAAAAGAAAATTATTTAAGGCTGTAAGCTTGTTATATTTACAGTAAGCATAAAGAGCAAAATACAACCAAAATTAATCTAAAATGTAATATTTTAACTTTTAATGTTTAAATATCAATATTTATTAGAGGAGGAACAAGTCATCTAATTGTCTACATATATATCATTGTGAGATTTTACTTAGCATTTTCTTGCATTTTTTGCTATTATTTTGTATTCATATCATGTTACTAATCTTTCCAAATTGTTGTACGGTTAGTTATATAAATAAGAAGCTTTCTGACAATAGGCCTTGATTACATCATGTTTCTGTGTTGAAGTCCAATCCTCCTCCCTCTCTGCTATATCCAGGACCTATTCTCAGAGAATTAGGTGATGTCCATGAGGCAGAGAGCACTGCATATGCAATCTTTTTTGTACTTGCTTTTGGCTACAGCTCACACATATTTTTCCTGATTCCAAAGAGGTGGAATCTGGCCTTCTAAACTTTTCTAGTGACACTGCATTGTTTATTCATGTAAGTGAAAGCCTGTAAATACATCCAGAAGTGTATGTACAATACAGAAAGTACAGAAAAGTGCAGAAAAGTACTTAACTGCATCAGATACTTTAATATTAGCCCATACATAACAGGATTGTTTTGTTTTTCAGATGGGCGCCCTGTGGGAACAAGAAGTGTGAAAGCACCTGTAACAAAGATACCTACTGCCATGCCTGGTGTCCAGAAAGTGCCACTGTGTGACAAATGTGGGAGTGGGATTCTGTAAGTTGTTTCTTTTTAGTTTTAGAAATCCCCAGCTCAAGCACACATCATCCTCAAACATCACTGCAAAGTACAGAAGTGCGTTCCCATAATGCTGCCTAGAGCACAGAGATATAAAAATATATTGTTCTAAATGTCAAATTAGAACGTGTACCTGCAACAATTTCAATACAGATTATATAAGTTTTGACAAAGTACCACTGAGGTTTTAATTGAGATTTCTCAGGACCTTTTGCAAGTCAACTATTAAAAAATACATAATAAAACCAGCAGTTACCCATGCTGTGCTGTGTCAGGCTGTGAATTCTCAAAAAATTCTTGTTAATGCAAAGCATCGTTCTCCCAACCCAGTGGGAGTATCCAGAAAGCCTGTAGACCTGTTTTAAAACTATCAGATTTCTACCTGATTGACATCACTAATTTCAGCAAAGAGCACAAACGATGAACTGAGAAAACACAGACATGAAGAAAATCAAAGTGGTTTTGAAAGTCATTTTTGTCACCCTTTTGATAGGTTAGGCTGTGGTTTCTGTCTTGTAACCAAACCAATACGTTTCTTCAAACTCTTCATTTTCCAGTGCTCATGAACTATGTGATCAACTCTACAGCATTTTATGTCACCTCATTTTATATCAAACTCAGCATTCAACCTTAAATGATATAATAGTTTCTAAAACCACAAGATGAACAACTGTAAAGCCTTAAAATAAATACCTAGAACATACCTTGTATCATAGAATCATAGAACCGTTTGAGTCGGGAGGGACATTAAAGATCATCCAGTTCCAGCCCCCCTGCCATGGGCAGAGACACCGTCTAATAGACTGGGTTGCTGCACTTTTCTTTTCTCGTTTTAAATTCATACTAATTGATCGGGCTTTTTCTTTTCATTGTTTCCATACAGAGGGACAGTGGTGAAGGCACGTGATAAATACCGGCATCCAGAATGCTTCGTGTGCTCTGACTGCGATCTCAACCTGAAACAAAAAGGTTATTTCTTCGTGGAGGGCCAGCTGTACTGCGAAGCTCACGCCCGCGCCCGCATGAGGCCACCGGAGGGATACGAAACAGTTACGGTTTACCCAAAATGCTAGTCCTAGGTTAGCACACAAATGTATGCATGCACACAAAAAGCCTTTACCAGCATAGAACTGCAGTACAAGTGCCAGGATTTATGCCTAAATCCAAGGTAGCAGCTTTCAAACCTTTCCCTGGGGGATTCTGAGAGAGGCAAAGTCCTTGTTAGCCAGAAATAATATATTATACCAGCAAAAATCTGCTAAAATATTGGTTTTGAATCTGTCATTATAACTCAAGGAAGTGTATGTAAACTGAAAATGCTCTCCTAGAACACAAAAAGTGAAACAGCTGAAGTATTATATGAATGCTACAGAATCATGTACACACACACATATATATATATCTTATATACATAAGAGCTGTAAGCAAGACATTATTTTGAACATTAATCAAGTACTTGCGCAAACACCAACACCATCAAAGTCTTACATGCTGGGCGGCTATAAATGTAGAAACATGACAGATTAGAAAAGCAGCTATTTTACGTTTAGTACAAAACAAGCTGTTGTTCATGTCTGTTATTCAACTATCATAAATGTATGCCCCAAACATGTTTTGCTTACTTTCCTCTGAATTTGGGGTTATATTGCCTTAATTTTCTGATGCATCAACTGTGATAAAAAATATATGTCAAGTCACATAATAAAATGGTTAGTATAATAAAGACTGGTTATTAAGAAGCAAAGCTAAATTTCTATGTTGTCTTAATGATTTTGAAATAATATCAACTTTCACATCACTTTGCAGGAAATTTTTCTAAGACATGCACACACATAAATTGTTTTTTTGGAAAAAGAACCTCACACTCTAATAAGAATTAATTGTGAATTGAGAATGAAAACAAATTTTCAAACTTTTCTGCAGAAAATGATACTGGATTTTTGTATCTCCATTTTTCAATTTCCATAATAGGAACAACAGGAAAATACCATCACAATATCTTTATTGCTGGTAAATTAAAGCTTGGACAACTTTAAAAATAAATGTTAATTAAAATATGCAAAGCCAAGGTCTTTTGTTAAAAAGCTTGGTGAAGTCCTAAGGAATAAAAAAACAAAAGCTGAAAGAATATGGATTTTTAATTAATTTCTAAAACTTGTCAAGGACTACATTGTTTTATGGTAGGTGCCAGCCATATAAACACATGTAAAGGGAAAACTATACTTGGCACATTTAGAAAATATCAAACCAAGTAATAAATTCTTTATTGGGGTATTTTGAACTTGTTCTAAAGTAGAAAAATCTATAAAATTTTACATAAAGTCCACAAGACTAGCAAAAAATTAACAACCTAGACAAAAACAATCTTATGTACTTTTCCATTCTATGATGTAACAAGCCTATAATACAAGTAAAATATGGAATCAAAATTAATTATATATACTTTAATTTATTTTTAAAAATGCACAAGTCCCAAATATTTAAATACAATGTCCACACATTCAAAAACTTTTCAAAATGTCTTAAAGTATTTTTTCAGAATTCAAAAGTTTTAAAAATGTGTGTGTCACTGCATTTATTACTTACATTTCCATATCAAAAGCAGAGATTTAAAAAAAAAGTGTTGCACCCTTTTCAAGGTTAGTTCCTGAATTATTCTCGGGCACAAAACATAATTCTGCTCCTCAGGTATCATAGAGGAAATGTGTAGTATTAATATTTTTCCATTGATAAAGCGCATAAATCTGAAAATCCTTTTGAAAACAAGAGTGCACATAATGTCTATTTTTACAAACTTAAAATGTCGTTGGTGTTTTCAAATGTTTGTTTCATTTTTATGTCTTTGTGGAGTAACTAAAAGTAAAAATAAATCTGCTACATATGATACATATTCTGTGTTTCTTTTCATCTGATATGGAAGATGAGGAAGTGTGAGTGTCCAGTGACCTGACCACAGTTTGGATTTCAGTCTGAGAGCAGTGTGCTTTGGATGATCAGATCCCTGGCAAGTATGAAAGACAATTTTTATATTAAGTATTTGAGTACACATCCAGGGGTTTCTAAAAAAGATTGATATCATGTGTTATCCAAACTAAAGACTCAAACTCCTCTCTTTAACACACCAAACATACCAACTGTAAATGTGGGGAAATTCCTGGAAATGCAGATACAAGAAGTCATAGAACACGACCTGATGCTAAAGCTCTGGGGTAAGTTCAGTGGTATTGCATCATCACGTAGTGCTATTTTGGGAGGTTTGAAATTGAATGTGGCTTTGATAGAATCAGAAGGTAAGCCTATCTAATTGCAGGTACTGACCTAGATGAAAACCAGTACAACAATATAACATCAAGTGAACCATGATTTCAGTTAATGTAGACTCTGAAATATCTGATCCCGATAGAGGAGAAAAATAGGAAATCCCACCCCACAATCACTTCAGTCTGGGAGAACTGAATATAATTTTAAATGTGACAGGAAGATACACCAATTCTCTCTATTGCACCCTCAGGATTGAATTCTTTATCTCAGTAGGGTGTCATTGGTTCCTGGCACACCAGGTGGCCACCTAAAGGGCCACCCATGTTCTCTTCTGGCTTCAGAATAGTGTAGTCAGTCAATCCTGATGGCAGCTTAATACTACTATGCCTCTCAGCTGTGCCTAGACTCTTACAGACATTATGAGCCAAAGGCAGGCATGGAATTTATTTTCAACTGGAGAAAAAGGTAGGAAGTGTGACCTCACATGCTGTTTATCTCTACTCCACAAATATTGATCAACAAGTGTGAAAAGCTTTCCCTAGCTATGCATAAACTGCAGGGCTGTTCTAGGAGATGTTAAAAACTTATAAGAAACTGCAATACTCCCAATGAGGAAGCCCAGAATTACTTCTGAAAATACATAGATTAATTTATATGTTACTTTTGAATCAATTCTTCCAAGACAAGTGCTTTTGGTCTTTTAAGTAATGCAGTTTTGCAAAAAAATCTGAAATCTTAAAAAAGCACTCTAAAGTAGCTAAAATAAATTGGTTTTTTTCCATCAGCTAAATAGATTCCTTCATTTTTTCAACTATCTTTCATCACATCAAAAATTAGACATGTTCAGATCAGAAGTGGGCTATTGAATGTAAACCCCCCACTGTTCCCACTGACTGCATTTTGATTCACATCACACAACTTCAGAGTGCACAAAGTGGTTTCCTTCTGGATGAAATTCAACCAGAAGTTGTGATCTGGGAGCACTACTAATGCACACCAACCACTAATGGCAACTCAATCCATAGAATCAAACTAGAGCTGAACAGACCATGCCTGAAATGTATTAAGGCTGATGCCTCAATACCAACTGATCTGCTCCTACTGAATCTTGCTGCCTTTTAAAACACACTTAGCTTTAAGAATTGCTTGCAAGTTTCATAGAGGAAAGGCTTCTTAACAGAAATTAAATTACTGACTGCTTATCCAGACTCAGAAATTGGACCTGATTCAGATATATCAAATCTCAGAGCTGTTTGATCAAGACTTCTGGTTCAAATTTCTATAAACCATATCAAGGAGAATAACTTCGCAGAATAGACCTGACTTGCTTGTAAAAGACATGTACTTTATTTAAACTCCATTTTAGGTTTTTTTTCATAAGGATAAGACCATTATTTTCCTAGTGGTTTCATAAATGTATAAACTAAACGGTGGGAAATAAAACATGTTTGCTGGCATGTATCCAGCAAATTTCTCTCTGAAGGCAAGCATACTCTGCAGATTTACCCATTTCTGTTTCTCTCTTTTGTTCCTGTCACCCAAGCAAGCTATTCAGATAGCTTCTTTGAAACTGTTCACAAGAAATCTCCACAAGCAGATAATTCTTATTCTTTTCTAAGTGCATGAAGTTTTGAAATAAAATGCAAGTCGTCAGTTTATGGTCAGTGCCATCAACTAAAATCTTTGTCTCCACAGCATAGGCTGAATAAAAAATGTTGTCTACACAATGAGTTCACAAAAGATTTTGTTTCTATATATGGTAAAGCATGTTTGTTTTAGTGTTCTCAGTGAGTGTTTGTAGTTATACACACTCTACCTAATCCTCCCTCTCTGCACACCAGAGCATGATCCAAAGACCAGTAAATCTTTTAGGAGATCTTGAAAGATTGTATATTATATTACTCTGAGGAAAAAAAATGCTCTTTTTGGCACATGACAGGACAGTTGTCCAAAATAAACCTTTAAGGAAATACTGATTTATAAAGGGTAAACAAAATTACAGCTGTGTTAGAGTGACAAATCACAAAACACAGAAGCTGTAAAATAGTTAAAGATTATTACTTTTACTCAAAAACAAAATATTCCCTGAATACCAACAGGATTCTGAGAGGAAAAATCTCTTGCAAGGTTTTTACAATTTTTCTTTTCATGTTGCTGTTCAAAACCAGGTCTATATAGATGACTCATTCTCTGTATAATTATTTTTTTAAAATAGTACATTCTTGATTTGGTAAGTTTTTAATTATCTTGTAAAAACAGGAGTTTATAAAAAATTAAATATTAATTAAACCAGATATCCAAGGAGATATAATAATATGTTCAATGGCAATAAAAAAAAAAAAAAAAAAAAAAAAAAAAAGAGGAAAAAAAACAACAGTTAATACATGCAGCCAATTGAGCCAATTGTCTCTACACATTCAGGCCAGAACCAAGTTTCGGTATTGCAACAAAGAGCAATGGTCTCATTCTATGAAAAACCTCTAGGGTGTCAGTTAGCAACACTTTATGCTCCTGGCACAAAGCACAGAAATATCCAGTACATTTGCAATGAGAAAGGAATCTGAGTTTCCCAGCACCAGCTTTGCAGGGTAATTGTGAGGTGCTCGCAGGCTGTGCACAGAAAGCACAGGAATAGGCAGTTTTCTGTAAGGAAGAGTAAATCCCAAAGAGAATCTATGATTGCACAAATGACAATCAGTCTTTCACTCTACTTACAGACAAGATATCCTTTTCATATATTGACTATTCCATTTGTGTATAAGTCATTCAATGCATTATTAATAAATGAATGCTATTAATAATCATGTTTCTGAATGAAATTTTTGTATAATAATTGGCAGTGTCACAAATAATTCTTACCACTGCTTTACTTTGTGCAATTTGGACATTTTTACCTCCATATCTTGCACATTTAAGAAAGTTGGGAGTGGAATAAAATTGCCAAATATAAGAAACTTAACTAAGACAATTTTATTCTGACTTTCTAGTGTTTTCCAAGAATTGCATTCCTTTTTTCTAGTCTACTGTTACAAATTCCCTCAATTTTGTTTTAATTTCACTGCAAGAATATCCCTATAGTCCAAATCAAGGTCATGTTTACAGAGAGCTTCTGTTCACTGCTCCAGATCTCTTGCACCTTTTTCAGCAAGCCAGTACAAAACTACACACAGGTAGGACGTAGGAAAAATCTACTTGTTTCAAAATTAAATTCTTCCACTGTCTACTCTACCTCATTCTACAAGAAAAGCATTTATTACAAGATCACTCAGAAGCAGAAATAGTCCAACTGTATCAGCCACTGTACTGAGAATTAAAAATAATTGGTAGCCCACAGTTTGAAATTCAGACTAAGAAGACAAGGTAGTTACAGTATGGAAGCAAAAATGGCATGATTACTTATAAAAATTTTTTCACACAAAGAAAGAACACACAGAGTGTGAAAACTAGTCATACACCAAGACACCAGCAAGAGCTTTTATCAGC